CCACCGCCACCGCCACCGCCACCTAGCTCGATGGTGGCTGTGGGGGCATGCACTCAATTGGGTGAGATTTGATGAGGATGTAGACAACAATGAGGCTATCGAGAATCAAATGTTAGGTCTAGAAAGGCCATTAAATTTCGGAAGTCATAAATCATGGCAATGCATTTCCCAATCAACGTGGATGTGGCCGTGGCGGTCCAAGGCACATGCTGCTGCTCTGCTTTTTGGAAAATTGCTCAAATTGCATTCGTTGTGGTCGCCCTCCATATTTAAGCCAGTCTCCACTGCTTGTCTGCCACATGCTTAGGCTCTTCCATAAAGGCACAAACACTATCAACGGGTTCCTTCAAGGTTCATATATATATATAATTGGTTCTTATTTTTTAATTGAAAATATATTAAATTAATAATATATTTATTTTATATTTTTAAATATAAAAAATATTATTTTAATATATTTTTAATTAGAAGGTATTTATACAACATTGCCTTATCTTTTAGGTTAGGGTTGTTTTTGCCTTAAAAATATACTTTTTGATATTTTTAGATTTTTTTTCTAGCTTTAAATTATTTTTTATAATTTTGAATAGTTTCGATGTCATGATATGAAAAGTAAATTTTTTAAAAATAAAAATTATTTTACTATATTTTTAATTAAAAATCATCTTGAAAAACAATTCTCAAACGCTATTTTAGAATTTATTTATTTTTTTATATTAAAAAAGTATTTTTTATTTTAAATTAATATTTTTTTATTCTTTTAGATTGTTTTGATATGCTAATACCAAAAATAAATTTTAAAATTATTTTAATATATTTTTAAATAAAAATATTATAAAAAACAAATAACACCATTACAATATTAAACAAACTCTTAATTTCAGTGCTCCTACAAAGCCGGGATCATCCAAACTATAGTATGTACTGTTGTAGAGGATCAAAAGGAGTTTTTGGTTTCCCTGGAAAGGCAAAACCTAAAATAAAATAAGAAGAAGAAGGCCAAATTAATTATATTTTGCCAAAAAAAATTTATATTAACGAATCCATTGTTCCATCTTATCTACAAATAAACATCAAATTAAGTTGGTGAGGCCAAGGGATCTTCTTAGCTATTAATTTGAAAACACATGATTGGTTCCACGCCACATGATCCATCTTATCACTAACAAAATCTAAGGCTGTTATAGTACGAGGATAAATACGGTTATCAAATTAATTATATTATAAATCTTTATTGTGATTCTCCATCAATTAATTCAACGAGTTAAACTGTTTAAGCTCTAAATTGTAGTGCTTGGTAAAATATATTAAATTTTTTATGTTAGTATAACAAAACTATTTGAAAACCCTAAATATAGTATTAATTAAATGACCTTTTAATCCCAAATATAGGCAGACTAAAATTCAATTATTTTTTATTTAAAACTATTTTTTTATTCGAATCGTTTTATACACTATGTTAAATTTATATATTTTTAAATAAAAAATATTTTTAAAAAACTAACATCTCATTCTTAAGCATCTCCTTAAATATATCAAATGCCAAAAAGAATATTAAATAAATCCATAATGATACATTTTAACCAAACTCTGAAAACAGCATGATGTGCCCATTTTCTTTTCTGTCTGTTTTTTTTTTTAATGATATTTTGTCACTTTCATTAGTAAGAATAGATGGCGTCCCCTTGCTGCTAAATTAAAACGTATATAATTTCAAACGCAACCGTGTCACTTGCAATATCTACAAAACAAGAATACAGGATTGATCTGGCCATGTTCAAGAACAAATCATGGAGTCAGTTTAAGTAATCACATGCCATGTTTATCAGCTAATGGAAGAACACCCACTGTTATAGCTACAGCTTAACGACTTCATGGGCCACATAGTCGGAAGGGATAGGTGGGGATGAGGATCCAACTTGTTTGAACGTGCTGTTAGTAATGTCAAAAGTACAAAAGGACTTTCTAGCCAGGCTTGAATTCTGAGCTTTTCTTTCGTTCTCGCCAGAGCATGTGCCTAGAGTACTCAGAGGAGAGTGGGCTCCTTCAAGGAGAAAATGGCGAGCCCCTGTTCTCCTCAAGCTCGTGTCCCGTGACCACTGGAACAGCATCTGTACTGTATGTGGGTTACTTCTGGGAACTGAAGCGCCCATTTTGGGGTACCCTCAAGGTCTAAACTCAAAGTGATGGCCAGTCTCATGCTCTCTGCTTCAACAGATTCAAGATTAAACCTGAATGGGTGCAGTTTTGGTCACCATTGAACCATGAAAGCTCTGTTGTCTGCCATCCACAGACTTGGTTCTGCGGAACCATAAGAACCAGGATCGGATAAATTTTCCCTCGACAGGGCCAAAATCTTGGTGGTGGGCGGGAATGAGGTCTCGGGGTTTGATTACTGGTGCATGTATCTAAGGAAAGGTTAATTGACTTTGAGGTCGATCAACTAACACCTGTGTTTTCCTCCGTCCCAATAAATATTGAGTTAAATGTAATCCAAAATAATTAATATCCTTTTGTCGTAATTCAGATATTGTTTTCTAAGAATAAGACTACTATATCTAATTTAATAGTATTTTATTTTCATTTATTTAATGAGCAATGATATCTTCTAATCAGTCTGCATTTGATTAAAACTAAATTCTTTCTAGAAATGCACCGCTATATCATCCTATTGTTTTTTTTTTCCTTTTAATAAAGGTTTAAATCTGTGATCCCATAGCTTCTTCCATGCATGATCCCATCACTTCTAGCAGGCAACCCAGCAACCCCCATCTTTACATTGATGGCTTGGGCAACCTTCTACTCTTTTTTAAGGCTTTGAAGATATACGATGCTATTAATAAATGTCTTCTGTAGCTCTCAATTTTATTTTATTTTTATTAATTTGTTTTTGGATAGAATAAAAACCTCAGCTGGGGTCACCTGACTGTTATAAAAAAACAGAGAGAGACGAGAGAGAATTGATCAGAAATCTGGGTCATCTGCTGGCGGGTATCTTCTAATATAATGAAGTCGCGAATGACAAAGGCCTTTAATTATTACTTTTTTTTTCAGAAAACGACCCAATATAGTTAACGTCTCACCCTATATGCCTGGAGGTGGAGGGCAGGGAGCTCGATACACCCACATGAGAGAATCATTGCAATCTCTCATTCTGATTTGCATGTGCACCGCTGCTGCTATCTATGATATGGGTTTTCTCTGGTAGCCATAGATAACGAAAGGGATTGTGTGAGAACACATTTTAGACCGCAGAAAAGGCCAATCCATCAAAAGAAGTTCCATGGCATGCATGTGCCTTTCCCCTTTTGCTCTCCCTCCTAATCTATTCTCAAATCTCAAGTGGGTCCCTCATCGGGAGGGACGTACCCTTTCGGTAGTTGGCTAAAGGTATTTCCTTTTTCCTTTCGCACTTGAAATTCAATGGTGAAAGCGTAGTTAACAAATGGTCAAAAATGAACTGAAGAAGGTAAAGTAGTTGCCTCCCGTGATTGTTGCCACTAATTGGAAGGCATGGTAAGAAAGATGGTCAGAGGAGCTTCTGACGAAGTGGGTTTTGGGATGCTTGATACGGAAGGGGCTTATGATGATATACTGAGCTAATTAAATAGCTTCATTTTACAGGTTCTGCCTTCATTTGTTGATAATTTTGGCACAGAGTTGTAATAATCATGGACTTTAATTTGGTGGTTCAACTTTCCTAGTCACTTGCATTAATTCAACTGGTAAAGTTTGAAAGACTTTTCGCCTGTCTTTACCTGCAGTCCGTTTCATTTTGTCCTTGGCTCTGTCATTGATTGGCTGAGGGGGAGGCGGGAGGGAGAGTTTAACATGAAAAGCTGAGGGAGAGGCGGGAGGAGGAGGCGGGAGGGAGAGTTTAACATGAAAAGATAATTGATTATACTATAGATCAACACTTCTGCACTTGTTTTCTCTAAGCCCATCAAGATTCTCAGAGAGAATTCCTAATGGTTCAAAGATTAACAGGCGAGGTTGTAATCATCAAAGTTGAGTACAAAGGGAGGTAAAGGATTTTAAAAGGGAAAAAAAGAAGAAAAAAACGCATAACAATGGGCAAAAAGAACTAGAAATTGGAGGGAAGATAAAGCCATGGAAACTAATACTTAAGACTTCTCTTCACCTTCCTCATTTTTGATTTCCCTTCTGCTTAATTACTTTTCTAACTAGCTAATTAATTAATTATAGCCCAAATCACTTGTAGCAAATATTGTTTCTTCAATATTTCAAAATCAGCTAGCAACGAGCCCCTTTCCTGCAACCAAGTGCACCCGCTCCACCTGTTATTGTACCGACAAGCGAAGATGGTCTTGCACCCAAGCTTGATGCCCTGGCATAACTTGAAGAAGCACCTGCACCAGATGCTGTGAAAAACGCACCATTCACTAGAAGGTCTCCTTCGGACCTCCAATTCCAGTGCTTCCATTCACTCTCTGGTGCATCTTCATGTTTTGTTACCTGCATTATTAAAAAAATCATAAACGTGTTAGGGTTTGTCCCATTTAAGGCTTACAAAAGCAAAGCCTTTTTCGGCATTGAGTATCACAAGGAAGTTAGTTATTTCAGTTGGGCAATAAATGGGTTCTCAGCTCCTACCTCTTTACTGAACCTGATGTCGGGCGCCACAAATCTATTGCCTTGGCTGTTGATGGTCGGGTTAGCACTCCCTCCAATGGCGTACATTTCCCAATGGGTGTAGTCATTGTTGACCACATGGAAATACCCGTGTCTGCATCTGAAAATGTGAGCAAATACTAATTAGTTTCAAATCTTGAAAGATAATCGACACCTGGATGGCTGGTAAGGGGCATATTGTTAGCTAATTACTCCACTAATAAACACTTTCGTAATTAAGAAATAAAATACTTGTTATAACTTTCTTTTTTACCTTGGCATTCTCTGGACAAGCCCTTCTCCAAAGTGATTAAAGGCTATGGTGACTTGCATGTTCTTGTCTTGAGTGTAGGAATCGCTGTGCCCCAGAAGCATGACTTTATCATGGTGGGTCATGTAATTGTTCGAAATGGTGATGGCGGAGGACCCATGAATGGCATCGACAAGTCCATCGTTACAATTTGACAACGAATTATGGTCCACCCATACGTGAGTACCACCGAAGATGGACACACCGTCACCATCGGATATAGTCCTCCAGCCGAAGTGCTGTGGGGAGTCTCTCACCATAGCATTCCCTCCTTGCTTGCAATCGTGTATGTGTAGTCCATGTATAATAATGTTGGTCACATACTGTATGGTGATGCACGGACCGCCAGCAATATGGACACTAGCACCTCTACCATCAATCGTCTTGAACGAGTTCATGATCAATTCTTCCTTGAGTTGAATTGTCATGTCTCGAGCGAAAATGATCCACAATGGCTCATCCTGGATCACAGCATGCCTGAGAGTCCCTGGCTTAGGGTTCACAGGATCATCATTGCCAGAGTCAGTGACCACATAAATCTTACCATCTCTTCCACCAATGGCATTCTTCCCAAACCCAATTGCACAATCCGCAAGCCTCTGACGGTTCTTCTCCCAATTGGGATCACACCTCCAGCAATCATCAATGGGGTTGCCAGTTCCGCAAGAGAGATAGCCCAACTTCCTCCTAGAAGCATTGATGGCCCTGTCCAAAAAAAATGTAACACATTCTTATAAACACCAGTTACACATAAATTAAACACAGCACGTTCACTATTTGACCGACAATTTGCAAGTGGCAGTGGAGCCACAGACGTACCTATGCACTTCTTGTACTACAAGTTCCGGGTCCTGAACTGGGGAAGAGGAAATGAGAGCTGGGGTTAGCAGAGAGAAGAGGAAGAGGAGACAGAGAGAAGGGTTTGCCATTGTTTGTTGTCTTCTTCGAGAGGAGAGAAACTGTGAGAAGAGAGGGAAGGGTGTGAGAGATATGAATGGAGAAAAGGGAGTTTATAAAGACATTAAAGCCGGGCTAAATGGGCGTGATTAAACTAAACTAAACATGTGGGGTCCAAGATGTGCTTCGTGATTTCTGGATTTACGGGATTCCTACAGCGGGTCGTTTCTGCCGTTAAGGGTAGAAAATTACAGTAAAAATTAAAGACACCGAGAGGACAATTCCATCTTCTCGTTTTTTCAACGAGGCAGCTCCACTCTGAGTTTCATCTCAGAGTTGCGAGGCCTCGCTGCCAAAAGGTTACGAGAGCTGCAACATGAACACAGAACATTTATGCTGATAAATCTGTCCTCTGATTAACGTGATGATCATCTTTATGAAATATTATTTCTCGCAACTCTTTTAATTAGCGTAAGGAACACATATTGATGCTGATTTTTGAATCTTTTCGTCGTGAAAGTACCAAGGAAAAGATTGTGAAGTAGCTAGCTAGGCACGCTAGTAATTCAAATGTCAACATATCCATGAGATCAAGCAGAAACAAACAAATTGTTAGCTGTTTTACTCGTCCATGTAAATCTAGTCAAGAGTGAGCTGTTTTTTCTTTTTTTTCCTATCTCTAGATCTCTGGTATGAGCTCGTAGCCTTGTCGCTCATGACAGTAATCTACAGTCACCAGCTATGGTGGAAAAAGCAAAAGCCAGAGCATAGCATATATTGCTAACACACAGGTTTTTTGTCTCTTTTTTCGTCAAGTTAATTTCTGGATTTCATGGGCCCATAAATTCCCTGTCTTACATGCTAAAGGTTAAAACTAAAAACTACCACCACGTTAATTATTTTTAAAATGGAAGGTGTTCAATTTACTTAATTAAAAGCAACAATAATCAAGAGGATATGATCTTGGCAAAGCAAGTGATCATATCTCTGGGTACCCTCTCTTTTCTTTTTATATATCTTGATACTACTTATACATGATCCACAGGTAGTTCATCTCCGAGGGAGAATTTGGCAATTTAAAATCCTCAATCGGTCATATATTTACATATTAATTACTAAAAATAAACATTAAAATTTAAATCATGTGTGGTTTATGTCTTTAGTTGACTTCTTACCACTTGATTATTACCCGTTATATATTATAAGCTCACTTGTGTTTAGATGCTTGTTCAGGCAAGGGGACAGCAGTAGTAGAGATTTCTTAGTCACAGAAGAGTGAGACGTAGAACTAGCGATAAAAATGATTTGATAAGTTATCATGTGTGTATATATGGTAGTAGAAAACATCGTGGCTAACCGAACCCCTTAGCCCTCGTCTTTTTCAATTGTTTATGAGTAATGTTAATTACTTGATTTATGAAATTAATTACGTGATTTAAAAAAAAAAAGTAATTAAACACATCAAATTATTAAAAAAAGGTGCAAAACTTAACGTGGGTCCTACAAAAGAATAGAAATAAATATTTATTAAAATCATTGTATTTTTTTAATGGAGGGCTAGAAGAACTCGTGAACACGCATGGGTTTTTCATAATTAATTGTAGCTAGGGAATACACAAGATTATCGATGCATTACTTAATTATATACGCCACACTTACGAATTGTGGCCAGCCAATTGATCAAAACATTTAATTTTGTAAAAATAAAATAAATAAAATGATTTGATGATAAGTACTTGGACCAAGAAACTCTTGTGGCAGCATCCGCACATGCTTTTGCCCTCCAAATCAAACCTCACCAGCTGCTTGTAGGCCCGAAATTATTATTTTTTTTCTCCTTTCTTTAGTATATTTCTTCTTATTTTTCCTTAATTCATCCCTTTGATATTGTATTCTTGACCGCAAACCTCGCCGGTGATTTACACAAGGAACAAAGACCGGAAGCACAATTCTGACATGGAAGGATAGTGGCCCATCAAGCTGACACTTGTCAACGACATGCCGTGTACATCTGGACCCGTAAGAGGAGGCGTGGTATCCGTCGTTTATGTTCTGGCTTCTGAAAGCTACGGCCGCACATGGGAGGATTTCTGTTCCGCTCTTTTTATGATTCTCGTGTCTATGTAAGAGAATTTGGGCCGCTGGTTATGGATTTGGAGTGTAATAAGAGCCCTTGATCATGGATGGTGGGGGTTGATGTAGCTTTCATCTTCTTCTTTTTTTAACAATAATATAAATTATATTTTAAAATATTATTTAATAATTTAAGTTATTAGATTAAGATAATTTTTTATTATAATATTAGAGTTTTAATGGCTAAGAAATCATGAATTCAAACCTCATTATCTTTATTTATTTAGTAAAAAAATTAATCACAAGATAATATATTTCTATACAAAAAGCTTTCATTTAA